ATAATAATAATAATAATAATAATAATAATAAAATCAAACATTAATTAAGTTTCAAAACCATAATAATAATGTAATTAGCACACACAAAACAACTTAAATGTTTAAAATGATAATAATCCAAAAAAGTTTATATATAAAAGGTAGGTTATAGTGACTTTTCGGTTTTCAAACATTTTTTTTTTAAAAAAGAATGATTTAATGAACACAAAACTCAACAAATGAAATTGTTACTATCAATAAAATCATGCTGTAATGTTTGACTAATGGGTAGACGGAATTAATTAGAATTCCATAAGAGGAAAGTGCATTTTGGAGGGAAATTTTTTTTTACGGCACTTCTGTTTTTATATATATATAGATATGCACAATGGTTGTATGAGTTTTGTGATTTGTTTTACCTTCAAAAGATTGAAAATAAGTTAGACATAATATCAATTATCGTAGAGTTCGATAGGGATAAAAATATACCGCTATACTCTGTGATCTTTAAGTATTCACAAATCCGTAATGTATTCTTATATGTTCACATTCATCATAGAAATATAGTCTGATCACGTGTAAAAATAAGTTTAATTATACTCAAGAGATTATTAAACTATTTAGGAATACTAATCTTCATAATTGAATCGTGTTGTCAAACTATGAAGTTTGGGGTTAAAATTGATTGATATAAGGGGATTCGGGATACTAGTACATTTTTCATCATTATATTTTCATCAAATTTGCATTAATCAAAATCTCACATTGAATTGAGTTAAATTCAAGTCATGCATTCATACGTATAGTAGTTGATCACAATTTAGTTAAAAAAATCGCTATTTTAAAGCTCATTTTAAAAAAATAAAAAAATAAAAATATCTAACACGGGCTAAGTATAATAGATAATTCCACTTGTATAGGGAGAAATCTCCTATACAAGTAGCACGGTCCATAATTCCCTTTGAATATTTGGTCCACAATTTAGAAATAGGGATATGTATTTGAAAAGAATAATTGAATAAAATTCAAGTACTTTCTTTTATTAAAAGTTAAGACCAGAGTTTTTTTTTTTTTTGGGATATGCAGTTGAGATATTACAATATTTATTCATTTGCATATTTTATATAGACATGGTTTTTTTTTAGTTTTTATGAATTAAAGATCTACAATTTAATTTAATTTATAAGAAACAAGACCTTATAAATCATAGTCATATTTTTCATGCCTCTTTCATTCACGACTCCATCAAATTTCACGCTCGCCTCTACCTATCAACTCTGCTCAAGGGGCAGATTTAGCCCCCGACCAAAAAATTCAAAATTGGTTTTTTGTCCTAAGTTTTTAGAAAAAAATTCAAAAGAGTCCTCATATTTTTAAAATTTTGCACCCACGAATTAAAATTTTACGAAATTTGCCCCAACGATTATTTTCTTCTGGCTCCGCCCCTGTGCCTACTAACCCCCCACTGCCAACCAATAAAATGCATGCGTCTGATAATAAATATGAGCGTGTGGATTTGTCATGTTTTATTAGTTGAATATAACTTGAGTCTATTAAATTATTATGGAAATTTATCTTTTATCATTTATGATCTTGGTCAAAGATGAATGAAAAAACAAAGAAAATACTTTTGACACGTGAAAAAATAGATTTTATCTAAAAAGTCGGGTGATTTTGATTTTTACGAGAGATTATCATTCTTTTTGGGAGTGTGAACATGACTTCTAAAACACTAGTGATTGTCAATCAGCCTCTGGTCTTGATGAACATTAGCCAGAGATTGAAACATCAGATTTTTGTAAGGGTTATTAGTCAAATAGTTTAGACAAAACCACAAACTTCATCTGAAAGGAGAACAAAATCACAGGGGATGATTATAAGCAGTCTTTGCAAAAGTAATGAGGAACATCACAAGGTAGTCCAATTACATAGATCAAGGATTCATCAGACTCTTCTCAGCTTCAAACCCAAATACCGTCCTAGCGTACTCGGTCCCTTTTATTTGGGTATGTGAACAGGAGACATGTTGCGAAGCAGGTCTTCAATTTCCAAAGCCGCTCTCTCCTCTGAAGCCTTGAACAGCTTTCTCTGTTCTTTTAATTGTTCCGCAAGCTGCACAGGGTGATTAAGAACTAAGAGTCGTTATATCAGATGCTATTATAGAAAAGTAACTAGACAAAACATTACTTGTTTGGAGGTTGAATGGATATCATTAAAGACGAAAATAAAGTTAAAATCTTGTCTATACCATGCAATTTTGTCTAATTTACGTACCAAAAATGCACTAAAGGGTTTAACAAGTTTACCTAATTCGGTGTTCTTTAACAACAAAAAATGGTTAAGGCCAAAATATTACTTGCTTTTTGCAGGTAATTTGGGACAAAAGATAATACTGAACATGCACTGCAAGAATATCAAAGAGAAATGAACATGAAGATATTACCACTTTATGTTCTGGTGGAGGACATAGTAATCCGTGCACAGTACGACCTAACACCAGAAAGTGGAGGTTAGTCGACTAGACAGAATAAAAAGGAAATAAAACTGATGATTTAATCTGTTATTACGATTAAATGAACTCGATGAATCTCCCATCCTTTTCCTTGGGTTCTTGCAGCAAAGTTCATGATCGTGAAGCTCTCCTAAAAACTCCATCAGCTCATCGTCCAGTAAATTTGACTCACAGCTTTTCCTTGGAACGTCCTGTGAAGATGGATTCACAGAAAGTTCTTTTAACTTCCCAATGGCCTCAGAGAAATCATTTCTTCCCTTAAAAGAGGATGAATTAGTTTGATTTTTGCCAATTGAAATGCCTTTGGTGACACAAGTTCTCGCTTTGCTCACATCATCTTTCTTTGTTGCCTGCAGCACAAAACGATTTCTTAGTGACTTTAGAAAAAAGGAAAATCCAGGGCCAACCCCTATAGCCTACAACTCCTACAGGTGTAATCTCGGGAAAAAAAAAATCTTACCATTGTGAATTTTGCATTGCCTTTGGTGACACGAGTACTGGCTTCTGTCAAGTTATCTTTCATTGTTTCCTGCAGCACACAAGGCTTTCTTAGTGACTTCAGGAAATTGGTGCGGAAGCAGAATTGAAAATTTTAAACAATAATAAAGTTGAACATCTTGAAAATACCTAGAAAATAATTTTATTATAAGGGATTGGTTATTGAAAAGTATATAAAGCCTTTGTTTATTATAGGCAAAATAATTCTCTTATCTTACCATTGCCAGGAAAAAAAACTAAAATCCTAAAAAGAAAATAAAACTCTAATNAAAGTATATAAAGCCTTTGTTTATTATAGGCAAAATAATTCTCTTATCTTACCAGTGCCAGGAAAAAAAACTAAAATCCTAAAAAGAAAATAAAACTCTAATCTAAGAGGAAAAATGAATCCTATTGTAATAATAACTAACTACTATCTTATTCATAATAGGATTGTCCTACATCAATTATAGCTCAACTCCTACAGGGCTGTTCCTACATAATAGAATTGCGTGTTAACGGAAGTCGGTTGAATACAAAAAAAACTTCGAATGACCTTCCACTATTATGAAAACGATACCTTGAGGATAAAAATTATTCTTGAAGGAAGATTTCCCCCATCAATGCAAAAGGAAATGCCAATAATTTTACAATAGACGAACAGTGAATAATACAAAACTGCGGCTTTATAACATTTTACAATAAACGAACAGTGAATAATATCTGAGTGGACACTCTGCAATTTGACTCGCATTTGATTTGATTTGAAGACAAGAAACTGAAGATGAAAAGGATTGAACAGGAGACAAACTTAAAAGGCATATAAAATAATGATGATTTTTATGCAGAAATTGTTTCCTGGTTTTTGCTTGCAGGCTCTGAACACAATTGCCAATAATCTCAAGACAGATTTAAAACAAAAAATGAAAGAGAGACAGGAACACAAAGAGATCTTCATTAAAGCTGTACTACCCAATATCAAACAGATTTTTTTTTGAATCCTGGATGAACGAACCCATAATTTTACATGATAAATCAAATAATCAAAGCCCAAAAAAAGTAATTAAAACAGATAAATCGACAAATACCAAGATTATGAATTGGTTGGCAGAGAATCCAGAAAGCCCAGACAACAAACCAATGGATTTTGCGAACCACGGCGTCGAATGGGGAAGGAAAGGTGGAAGAAATCCCTGCTAAGAGAGAGAAAAATAGTGACGAGGGAGAGGTTACGAGAAAGAGTGGGTCTGGCTAGGGTTGGAATAGGGGGAAGAATTGGGCTTACGTTTCCGGATGGTTTTTCTAGGTCGAGTACTTTTAGTTCAATCCAGTAATAAGGAAGTTGAAATTAATACCAGAATCGATAAGTTTACGAGACACAATATCACTTCATAACGTAAGTTAGAGGTGTCCAAGCGGGACCAGTATTTCAATCAAAACTGCAGCTTTATAACATTTTACAATAAACGAACAGTGAATAATATCTGAGTGGACACTCCGCAATTTGGCTCGCATTTGATTTGATTTGAAGACAACAACAGGCCGGCCCTGAGAATTTAGAGGTCCTAGGCGACTAATTATTATGAGGCGCTTCAACATAATTCCATTCAATTAAAAATCCAATTTCTCTTCCCATTATGAGGAAATTGCCTTATTTTCTGCCATTTATTGGTATCCTTAACAAAAATTGAAAGCACATAATATTTTAAACAAAAATCAACACCTATGAACAATATACTGAACTTGGAAACATTTACATAAGTTTACATAATTAAATTGAAACAAACATCCTCTTAATTTGATTTTCGACAAAAATAAATCTCATCAATTTGAAGCTAGTTTTTATTAAAATTCCCACTGCTTTGTATACAAAATTTTCATCATATGGCATCTCATCCAGTCCAAAAAACATTTTCCATGCCACAACTTAAAAAAACCACACAAGATTAGAATTTATTTTTTGATGATAAAAAATAATAAATAAATCATATCTTACAAAATATGAAGTAATTTTGCTTAAAAAACAAAAATATACTAATATATTGCAAGAGATCGAAACATACTACACACTGAATTTTTTTATCTATAAAACTTTCACCTCTATTGCATAAAGATTATTAATAGAAATGATCTCCATAAAAAAATCCTAATCGTATTCATAAGGTTACAGTGATTAAAATTAACTGTAAAAAAATGATAAATCCGGACCCCAAAAACCAGAAAAATTCTCTAAAACTAACATTCATGATGAACCCAAAAAACCCATATATAGATACATACATAAGAAAAGATTGTGCAAGGAAAAAACATGTTCATACCCCTCTGATTGGGAGGTAATTTGGTCATGGCCTCTTTGACATTGGGTCAAATCTGTCTGGGCATC